TTGATTCATCTACATGATAATATGCAGTAGAACCAAAAATACGCAAAGAATCATAATCTATTGCAGGTTGTTCAGACCATACCTCTAATGGAGTCTTGCCACCTATTGTAGATGATGGCAAGCGATTGACGAAATGTTGAGCGTATGTCACAGCCTTAACCCAAAATTTCTGCCTAATCCAGCATTAAATAGCATACAACGTACTTTCTCCACTAGTGTCTTATTCATACGCTCTGATATCCCATTCTGCTGCGATGTTCTTCTTATTGTGAAGTGCCGAACTATGCCACATTGTTGGCATATCTTCTGGAAAAGATCACTCTTGTATTCTCCACTATTGTCTGTTCGAAGAATCTTGATCTTTCTTCCCGTCTGGTTTTCAATCTGAGTTTTTCATTTAGGGAAAATCCCAAGCACTTCATCCTTCTTCTTCATAGTAAACACCCAAACTTTTCTGAAAAAATCATCAATAAAAGTGACAAAATAGTACCTGTCTCCAAGGGATGAAGTCTTGGCAGGTCCCCACACGTTTGAATGCACATAATCCAAAATACCCTTGATATTATGGAAAGGTGGGCCAAATTTTATTCTTTTCTGTTTTCCCAGAATACAATGCTCACAAAATTCTAATTTGCAAGTTTTCGTACCTTTCAATAATCCTTGCTTGGCAAGATTTTGTAAGAATTTTTTACCAGCATGTCCCAATCGCATGTACCACAACTTTGTTGCTTCTGCATCCTTCTTGTTATTGAAAGATGTTGCTGCTGCTGCTGTCCCAACAACTGTACTACTTTGGTAGTAATACAGATTATTCTTTCTCACGCCTTTCAACATCACAAGTGCTCCCGAAATTGCTTTAAGAATTCCATCTTGCATCTTCACTTTCAGGCTTTTTGACTCCAAGAGTCCTAAAGAGATGAGATTCTTCTTCAAATTCGGTACGTACCGAACATCCTTCAAGATTCTGGTAGATCTATCATGATTACGCAGTTTGATTGAATCTATCCCAACTGTTTTACATGGTTGTTGTTTCCCATGTAAACAACTCCACCATCAGGCTCTTCAAGTTCGAAGAACCACTCTCACATAGGAGACGTATGATAGGTGCAACCTGAATCCAAGATCCATTCATCTGGATAAGATGTTGATGGTGATGCAGCTAAAGAGAAATCCGATTCCGCATCACTTTTGCACTTTGTAACATACATTTGCATCTTACGGAGCTTTCCCTTTCTTCTTCAACTTTGGACAATCTTTCTTCCAGTGCCCTTTTTCACGATAGAAAGCACACTCATCTTTGGCAACTCTACTTTTTGATTTGGACCTTCCTCTTCTCCCATTTGATTGGCTTTGTTAACGAACTCTTGCCACTAACGCTTCATCTGTTGCAACTATTTTATTTTTCATTTTATCCTATTTTCTCAATTCATGACTATACAAAGCAAAACATACAGCATCTAAAGATACATTTTCCTTCCCATGAAGTAACATAGTTTTCAAATGTTCAAATTAATCAGGAAGGGATGACAACAAAATCAAAGCCAAATCTTCATCTTCAAATTTAACATCTAAATTTAACAGATCTGCTACTAACTGATTAAATATAGTGATGTGTTCATTCATAGTAGTACCTGGTTGGTAACTGAATCGAAACAATCTTTTCTTCATTAGGAGTTTATTCTGACCACTCTTCTTCAGAAATTTCTCCTCCAATGCCCTCCACAATTTCCATGCAGAAGTCTCGTTCTTGAAAGCATACTTTTGCTCTCTGGACAAACACGATCGAATAGTTTTGCATGCCAACCGATTTATGGTACTCCACTCCCTCTCTTCTATATCATCTGATTTCTTTTCTTCAATGGCAATGTCAAGACCTTGTTGGAAAAGAGAGTCTATGACCTCGCTTTGCCACATGCCGAAATGGCTAGTACCATCAAATATCTCCACCGCCAACTTCGAACTTGACATTGGAATCCTCGACCATGTGGACGAGGAAACCGATGCCCAGATGTAACTCTTGACGTGGAATTGTTTGATGCCATTACAAACTCAAATAATAGTATTCAATATAAAAATTAAAAATAGGCCAAAGGACGAATCTTCAGCTCTGATATCACTTGTTAGGCAAATCGGGTAATTTTCCACTCAAAAAAATTCAACTAGTGATTTAAACCGATTCGGTAATTCCCAAGAAAGATTGTCAAACAATCTCCTAAGACAGAATTATCATTCCAAATAAATTCTCAGGACAGGCTGGAGGGGTCACAAGCGGTCCCACTTAAAATCCAGTCTTCTAGACAGAATTTACGTGCACGGTGTATTATCACAAATATACCCGTATATACATAAATAATACGTACACACGAATAAGAATAAATACACCCAAATGAACCGTATAAAAACGCTGCAAATATACCCGACAAATATATTGAATACTATACCACAATAGAAAAGAAACTACTAAATAAATGCGGAGTAAATAAAAGAGATAAGGAAAGAACGCATCCAAAAAATTGATAACGAAGTTCGGCCAATTTTACCTAATCTCTGAGCACCGCTCAAGCGACCCGCTCTTATAAATTTTGGAAGAAGAAAGAATTACAAAAGAATCACAAAATCCTTTTGGTGTAATTCTTTTGTAAGTGTATTTGGTAAATATTATTAGGAACCTTGAGAGTCATTTTATAACTCTCAAGCAATCCTACAACTTCCAAAACAACCGATGTGGGATTAAATGTTTGCCAAAAAAATGTCAACAATTTTGGTTTGGAAAAGTCATCAATTTCTGCCACCAAAGTCAACAACTACAAGGTTACCAGAGAGACTAAAACTTCCAGAATGGACTAGATTTACATAATCGGATGCTCGTGAGTTTGAAAAAAATCATACAAGAATGGGCTTTCCACTACTATATACATCAAGAGGCTAAAACTTTGATGAGAAACTGTTCCAAGATTTTGAATTGAAACAGTCAACCTTGAAAAAATTTCTACCTTCGGTATAAATTGAACCAGAAGAATTACTTTATAAGTAGTAAAAGCCCTTTGGGAAAGCATATGGCATCTTAATCCAAGCTTTATACACCAAATTATGACGGATTCAATGCAACTATGCTATGAAGACTTTTCTATGCAAGATTATGAGTTTTTCTTATTTCCATGTCATGGTTCTGCTGTTGTAGAATACAAAAACCATGAAACTTCATCATAAACGGCTCTGTATCATATAACTTCTAGGTTTAATAGGTTCTCCAATTTTCTAGAGTATACATGGGTTAGGATCACGATCTTGAAACTGCTAAAACATGTATATGTCAAACCTTCAGCCATGAATTCTTCTTGTTTTTCATCATTGAATTTTCAGGATCATACGGTTTAGAACATGATCATAAGTTATCATAGGATACTCTGAAAGATTTTAATGTAAAACAATAACAATTTGTATGTAACATGAAATCGAAGTAGCGGTTTTACCCTACACAAAGAATTCCTTCTCTTTCTTCTCCGCCCTCCAATCCTCTCTCTGTCATCCACAATTACTAAGGAATATATCAGGGCCTACTAGCTAGTAGTGATAAAGGATTTTTTAGGATCCTTCAATACTTAACACTTTTGTACTTATTTAATCTTTGTGGAATTAGGTTGGACAGCACTTAAAATTCCTTGCTAAAGTTCCAATGCGGAGCAAGAAAATACTTGTTCCTTTTCATTCTTGAAAAACCCTTTTCCTCTAAGTCCTTTTTTTTCCCAAAAACCTGTTCTTCTTTTCCCTTTCTGGACAATCATAAATGTTAATAATAACTAAAACAATAAAAATTATTCACATTTGATAATTGCAGCATTTATGAAACTAAAACACTAATAGGTCGTAGAATAATTACTAAACAGAATAAATATCTAAACTAGATACAAGCATCTTATGAACAACACAAATATGTACTCCAAAATATACATATGTTGTAAGATTGGGTGATTTTGACAACAAAAATACTGAATTAGATATAAAATCACGAACAAAAAACAATATAAACAGAACACCAATCTTGAAAAGTTAATTTTAACATAAATGAGATGCCGACAAGCACATGGAGTATGAAATTGATAATATAAATTGGACAGGTATTTCTTTCGTTGTAGGGCCTTTTGATTTAATGCTTATCTCGTGATATTCCCACTATAGCCAAAGAAAAAGAAAAGTCTATGAAATGTAAACAAGTTGGACAAAAAGGTGAAGACACTGATATATATTGCAAATTGTATTTTCGACAACGAAAATTATTGGAAGTTTCAATCCAATAACGAAAATGCGACAGACTTTACATGATTTAACTAGGTTAAATTAAACCCAACCCCCCCCCCCACACAACAAAAATAATCTTTCATATTGCAACATGATCCCTTTAGGATTTCAAAATATTTATATAACCTCCTGTGGTTTCATGTAATATGAAAAATGGACAGGAAGCACCAATAGTTACACTGATTAAACCATACATAAACACGTGTGTGATAAAATCAAAATATCTATTTAAATTCCCTGCGATTTGCATGAATATTCAATTTAGCCCTCAATAGTTTTTGCTTTTATCCACATTATTCTCGTATGATTTTATGTACGGTGGTTAAAGTGTTGATTGATTTAGTATGCTTAAATAAGGACACTACTAGTAACTAAAAATATTATGGGATTTATTTTCTTTCCAATTTTCACTTTACATGAAATCACATGAGATTTATGTGGGTATTTAGCAATATTAGGTCGTTTATGTGACAACAAGTGAATCCACGGGGGATTATGTGTAATCTATCCTTTTAACTGTATCTAGAGAACTCTTTCTCAGACCAGTATGAACTCTGAACTACTAGGTAGGGATTCAGTCTGGGTCCACTTTATTCTTCTCAGCATTAGTCAATTCCAATTATCCTCCACAAGTGACGTTGTTCACGACCAGGCGACTTGGTTGTAAGACTTGCCAAGGTCAAGTTTTCCCATGCCATAAGTTTTCCTGGCTTATACAACTTTCATGATCCCTCAAACAATACTTAATTTGGCTCCTAATCTACCAATCTAGTTTGTAGGTTGTTAGCCTTTTACTCTTTTGATGCCTTCCTTTGAAATGATCTCCAGAAATTTGTTGTTCCACTTCAAATATTACATGCTTTGTTTGCTTAGCTTCCATACCATTGAATATTGTTGTTCCACTTCCAACGACACAGACCCCTGGAACTATCTTGACTCTTACTGTGGAAATATTACATACAATCCTAACAGTCCTTCCGGCAGCATTTACAGAGCCAATCTGAATTTCTTGCTTTACAATCTGTCTTCGCATGCATCTCGGACAGACAACAATGGCTTCTATAATTTCAGTACTGGCGATGACCCTTCAAACAAGGTCTATGGCCTCTTTCTCTGTCGAGGTGATGTCCACACTGATGTTTGCAAAGAATGCGTCGCAGATGCCCACACACGACTACTTCATGAGTGCCCAAATCAAACAGCTGCTATTGTTTGGTATGACAAGTGCTTGGTACTTTTTTCTGACCAGACGATCTTCTCCAAGGCTGATTTGGGAGAGAATGTGACTAGGCGCAATCCATTCGATGTCCCTGGACCTGACTGGGACAAATTCAAAATGGTATTGATCAATTTGTTGCATAACGCTGCGGATGAGGCTGCAAATCATACCATGGGCAAAAAGTTTGCTGTCCAAGAAGGCAATTATTCCACTGATCAAAAGAGATTGTATACCCTTACGCAGTGCACACCAGATCTATCCCCTTCTGACTGCAAAAGTTGCCTCAGAGAGGCTATAATGGACGTACCCGCGTGCTGTTCCAAGAAGCAGGGAGGGAGAGTACTTTATCCAAGCTGTAATCTGAGGTATGAGGTCTCCAGCTTCTATGATAATGTTTCCTCTGCCTTGCCAAACTCTCCTGGCGGTCCTCCTCCTAATTCCACTGAAGGTAAGTTCTGCAGCCTTGCTATGGCCGTCTCTTCTTGGAATTGGTGTTGAATACAATCTTAATTCTTACAATTTCTTGTTTGTAGTAAATTCTAGGTCGAAAATGAAAAGCACTAAATTTACAGCCTTCATTTTAAATTCATACCTTTGTTATTGGAATTAATATTATTGAAGTTAGTAGAATATGTAAATATAGGATGAAGGGTGTGAATTCACTATCAAACGAAAGGAGACCACCACGTAACTTAATGAATTTTCTAAGTCAAATTTTAGTTGAATACGTAACAGTAAGATTTCCGCATCAGCACATCTTACTGATCACATGCATCATCATTTGTAATTTATGGAAGATTTTAAGTGGTCATACTTCTTAGGACAGTAAATTTAGTCTTTTTGCAAGCATTAGCACTGTAATAACTATTGAATATATGTTGAAGTAGAATTGTTATGGTCATTACGGAATCCCTTTAACTGTGATGGCCTGACGTGCATTACGTTTTTATTTAGTTATCTATCCATTTATCTATTATATGGTTTTTAAAAATCATATACTTATGTTATAATTTTATTTTGATTGGTTGATCAGCATACATGAATATTAAGTGCATTTGAGAAAGTTTTTGCATTCAATTTGCTAGAAACATTTACATAGTGTAAAAGGGCTCAAGTTCATGGAAAATTTTGCAATGATTAATCAAATGGAAAAAGTTTGGTATTTTTAATTTTACTTTTGTGTGTAACTAAAATAGTACATGAGTTATATTATGGGCGGTATTGATTGCAAAATTACGTAAAAAAAATGAAATTTCTATGGCATAATGCAAAGAAGAATCCATTTTAGTTTTTCCAATTTTAGACAAAGACATTCAAGAAGATCGAGGATGTATTGTACGCATGTAAAAGATTTTCCGTTATAGTGCAATATAATTTGTTTGCTAGTTTAAAATATGATATTAAATAAGTAAATTAATGGTACTTCTTCGTGGTTTAATGTTTTGCCTCTTAACCTCTTGTGGTTTCAAAATCGCAATTTTACCTTAGTTGTGCTTTGGTAACGAGGAGGTTGGCTCATGAACTAAAATATTAGGGATATATATGTAAAATATTAGGGATATAATGTAAAATATTAGGGATATATATGTAATTTTACTATTAAAATAAAAAATAATATATATATATATATATATAATTGAGTTGGCTCATGAACTATCGAGTTGAATAGCTTTGAACTCGAGTTCGAATTCGAATTCGACTTGATTAGGTTGAGCATGCCTCAAGTTTGATGTTGATCGAGCTCGAGTTATCATGAGCAACACATCGAGCTCAAGTCGAGCTTTGAATTGAGTTGCTCGTAAGCGGTTCAATTCGTTTACAACCCTACCAATGACTCAACCATCCGGCCGAAAGGATTTCCAATTTGATTGAAGAATGAGTTGGTCCGATCAAACCTGTTTGACATGGTGGTTCAATCAGAGCCCGTTCGGTTTTCCAGTTGATTGGGTTCTTTTTTTTAATACAATTGTGGATCATTGTTTTTGAAATAAAGTGTAATATAATTTTTACTAGTTTTGTATGTTGGATTTCCACTTAAATGTGTAAAAACTTTTACTACTTGCTTAGTTTTTACTTGATAATTAAATGTTTTATTAAATAAACTTGTTTACTTTTTTGTTAGAAAATTAATTCTTTTAACTTTCAAACTTACAATATTTGAGTTTTTAAAAATTATTTTATTTTTTGAAAGATAAAATAATAAAAATGATGCTATACCTTTGAGTTGGCTCAAGAACTATCGAGTTGAATAGCTTTGAACTCGAGTTCGAATTCGAATTCGACTTGATTAGGTTGAGCATGCCTCAAGTTTGATGTTGATCGAGCTCGAGTTATCATGAGCAACACATCGAGCTCAAGTCGAGCTTTGAATTGAGTTGCTTGTAAGCGGTTCAATTCGTTTACAACCCTACCAATGACTCGACCATCCGGCCGAAAGGATTTCCAATTTGATTGAAGAATGAGTTGGTCCGATCAAACCTGTTTGACATGGTGGTTCAATCAGAGCCCGTTCGGTTTTCTAGTTGATTGGGTTCTTTTTTTTAATACAATTGTGGATCATTGTTTTTGAAATAAAGTGTAATATAATTTTTACTAGATTTGTATGTTGGATTTCCACTTAAATGTGTAAAAACTTTTACTACTTGCTTAGTTTTTACTTGATAATTAAATGTTTTATTAAATAAACTTGTTTACTTTTTTGTTAGAAAATTAATTCTTTTAACTTTCAAACTTACAATATTTGAGTTGTTAAAAATTATTTTATTTTTTGAAAGATAAAATAATAAAAATGATGCTATACCTTTGAGTTGGCTCAAGAACTATCGAGTTGAATAGCTTTGAACTCGAGTTCGAATTCGAATTCGACTTGATTAGGTTGAGCATGCCTCAAGTTTGATGTTGATCGAGCTCGAGTTATCATGAGCAACACATCGAGCTCAAGTCGAGCTTTGAATTGAGTTGCTTGTAAGCGGTTCAATTCGTTTACAACCCTACCAATGACTCGACCATCCGGCCGAAAGGATTTCCAATTTGATTGAAGAATGAGTTGGTCCGATCAAACCTGTTTGACATGGTGGTTCAATCAGAGCCCGTTCGGTTTTCTAGTTGATTGGGTTCTTTTTTTTAATACAATTGTGGATCATTGTTTTTGAAATAAAGTGTAATATAATTTTTACTAGATTTGTATGTTGGATTTCCACTTAAATGTGTAAAAACTTTTACTACTTGCTTAGTTTTTACTTGATAATTAAATGTTTTATTAAATAAACTTGTTTACTTTTTTGTTAGAAAATTAATTCTTTTAACTTTCAAACTTACAATATTTGAGTTGTTAAAAATTATTTTATTTTTTGAAAGATAAAATAATAAAAATGATGCTATGCCTTTGAAAATAAGTGATACAATTTTGTTCTATATTTGAATGTGTTATTTATTTATGTACAAGTACAGTAAAATGAAATTAAATCTTCTATTAGTATTTGTATGTTCACTGTATATCTTTCAAAGTATAATAATTAGTATCTAAAAGTACTTTATTGCTATTTTATATTTGTAAATATTAATTTGCATATCTAAAAGTACTTTACGTGAAGAATATTAGTCCCTCTGTTGGATTTCTTGTCCAATCGAGTTTAATAACTATGCATATTGCCATGTATTCTTCATGTAGGGTCATAAAAAATCAAAATGGAATAACTAAAAACAAATACATGACAAAAGAACAAAAAACATAGCAGAGGAAACACATCGTTGGATGATTTCCCACCTCAGATTCGTGGTCTTCTGAAAGCGAAGGAAACTTATGCTATCCAATTTCACAGGCCACAGATGCGTGGTGCGAAATCATCCAACGAATAAGAAATAAGGATTTGCACTTCTACACAAGGCTACAAGTGCATAGGCTAAAGAATTTTTGGTGATTTGTCTCTGTTCTTAATTTGGTAAATAATTTTCTTCAACCTTTGTTCTTCTACAGCAATTTGGTAATATTTGGCATTGTTCTCATTTCCTTATAATCACTGGGTCTGGATAGCATCGCTTACAATGGGTAGTCGTAATTTGGTCCAAACACAGTTAAGCTCCTATATGTTCAAACCTCAGGGGAGTTTCTTAATATTAATCCATAATATTGAAAATTGATGATGAAAATCTCTCTTCATTTACCATCAACATGAAGCATGTGAGACCAAAAGGTGGTGAAAAACTTTCAAAAAGAATTGAAAAAAATATTCTTTCAAATAATGTGTTTTTGCATAGCTTTTTGGGTTAGGCTCTTCTCCATTAATTGAAGAAAATTTTTTTTCCATTACACCTAAGTAAACATGGTTATAATACTATTTTTGAAATAAAAGGTCATCCAAATTATATTTCTCGTGCTGTTTAAAGTATATTAAAAAAATTCAAATTAAATTGATTAAATTTTAATATTGGATCAAACTTTACATTTTTTTTATTATAATTTTGGCCCATATTGCACCGTCAAAGTGTTTTGTACAAATTGAATGACAAAAAATTCATAAATGAGAATGAATTTTAAGTATGTTGATCTACTTGTGGAAGTAAAATTATTGACATAAATTTAGGCACATAAATGGTGAGAAAGTAATAGAGAGGATCTCAACTCTAGCTTTTTGTCTATGTAAGGCTGGCTCAGAGTGACTCTACCTCGAAGTTTAATAAAATTGATCTCCTATGATCAGCTGACTTTCGAAGCTAAATTAAACTAACTTTCATCCAGGCAAAGGGCGAAGCCCCCCGCGAGCAGCTTTTTCAATTGCTGTCCCATTAATTGGGGTTGCTGTTGTGCTATTTATCATGGCTTTAGTTTTCCTGAAAAGAAGATTGCGGAAGAGTTATGTTGCTATGGCACTGGAAACAAGTGGTAAAGTTGATTGATTAATATTACAAACACTTCAGATTTGTTTGAACAAATAAATTGAGTGTATTTGCTTATTTCTGGTGTAGATGGTGTTGCTGATATCTTCACTGCCGAATCTTTACAGTATAGCTTAACTGAAATTCAAATTGCCACAAATAACTTCTCTGTGGATAACAAAATTGGCGAAGGTGGATTTGGTCGTGTATACAAGGTCTTTGCATGAAATATTTTGCTTTTGTGAATTTGAATATCTACACATTTAATATTTCAATTAAATTCTAGTATGCATGTTTACTCAGGGTGTACTTGGTAATGGACAAGAAGTAGCTGTTAAAAGGCTGTCAAGGAGCTCAGTGCAAGGTGCAGAAGAATTTAAAAATGAAATTGTAGTAGTTGCAAAGCTTCAACACAGAAATCTAGTTCGGCTATTGGGATTTTGCCTGGAAGGAGAAGAAAAGATACTCATCTATGAATTTGTTCCTAACAAAAGCCTTGACTACTTTCTCTTCGGTGGGTTCAATCTAGACATACTTATAGTAATTTTTTGTTGTTCCATGTGATCTTGTTCTATTTTACTTGACTTGCCATTTTATGGAAATGACGGACAAATTGCCTCTAGACAAATGTTTAATTGGTGTGAATTCTAGTTTAGACCCTTAAATCACAGACGCGCACTCAAACTTTAGTTCTTAAACTTTAATTTTGGATACTTCACCTCCTAATGCATCACATGTTATAACAGATGCAGCGGAACAGAAGAACAAACAAGAATAGACAAGAACAACTTGGGGGAAATCAGATTTTATTAGCGAGACCCCCGTACAGCTCAGCGGGGGTTGAAGATCTAATTCAAGGCATCTCAACAATCTCCACCTTGACTTGAATCTTCCCTGAAAAATGTAACAGACGCACTAATGAAGTGCCAGAAGTACTCAGAGAATTATCTCTAAGTACCATCAGAATGCCCATAAGGGCCATCAGAAACTTAGGACATTTAGCAAATCCAAACAATGTTTGAATTTGCTATGAGGGACCGACTTGGTGAACATATCAGCAGGATTGTCAGCAGTGCCAATTTTCTTCACCTTGATCCTTGTCTCAGATCTCAAGAAATGATATCGGACATCAATGTGTTTAGTCCTCTCATGATGAACTTGATCCTTGGCTAAACATATTGCACTGAGACTATCACAATATATATTAGCCTGATCCTGATGTAGGCCAAGATCTCCAACCAGCCCCTTTAACCAAATTCCCTCTTTAGCAGCCTCCGTCAGTGCCATATACTCTGCCTCAGTAGTGGACAGAGTCACTGTAGGTTGTAGAGTTGCTTTCCAACTAACTACAGAATGCCCAAGAGTGAAAACATAACCAGTCATCGACCTCCTACTATCAACATCTCCAGCATAATCAGAATCTGAATAGCCTGTAACCAAACACTCTGTATCACCTCCATAGATGAGACCAACATCAGATGTGCCCCTCAAATACCGAAAAATTCGCTTCACTGCCAGCCAGTGCTCCTTCCCAGGATTAGCCATAAATCTGCTAACAACACTGACTGCATGTGCCAGATCAGGTCTAGTGCAGACCATGGCATACATCAAACTACCCACTGCACTAGAATAGGGAACCTTAGCCATATACTCCATCTCAGCTTCTGACTGTGGTGCAAGTGTAACTGATAGTTGAGCATTCGTTGCACTCGGAGTATTCAAGGGTTTTGCTGTAGACATGTCAAATCTGGATAGTACCTTCTCAATATAGCTCTTCTGTGATAAGAAAAGCTTTTTCTGACTTCTATCCCTGAAAATCTCCATTCCCAAAATTTTCTGTGCTGCACCCAAGTCTTTCATCTCAAACTCTGCACTGAGAAGACTTTTCAACTTCTGTATATCAGCTTTATTCCTCGCAGCTATGAGCATATCATCTACATACAGAATCAAATAGATCATCGAACCATCTTCAAGTTTGTTGTGATATACACAACAATCATACTGACTTCTGTTGTAACCTAGCTCAATCATGTAGCTGTCAAATTTTTTGTACCACTGCCTTGGGGACTGCTTTAATCCATACAAAGATTTCTTCAACTTGCATACATAATCTTCTTTTCCCCGAACATAAAATCCATCTGGCTGAGTCATATAAATCTCTTCATCTAACTCTCCATGTAGGAAAGCTGTCTTCACGTCTAGCTGCTCAAGTTCTAAGTCCTGATGTGCAACCATTGCTAGTAGCACCCTGATAGAAGTGTGTCTGACCACTGGTGAGAAAATCTCATTGTAGTCTACTCCTTCTCTTTGAGTGAACCCTCTTGCAACAACACGTGCTTTATACTTGATGCCCTCAGCTGGAGAAATTCCTTCCTTCCTTTTAAAGACCCATTTGCAAGTCACAACCTTTCTCTCTGCTGGCCGTTTGACCAATTCCCAAGTGCCATTCTTGTGTAACGACTCCATTTCATCACCCATTGCAGCAAGCCATTGAGCTGACTCACTGCCTGAAATAGCTTCTCTATAGGTAGAGGGCTCGGGAGAACTCCCATTTCATCACCCATTGCAGCAAGCCATTGAACTGACTCACTGCCTGAAATAGCTTCTCTATAGGTAGAGGGCTCGGGAGAATCCACCTCCTCAGCAACCTGAAATGCATAACCTACAAAATCTCGATACCTGCTGGGAACTTGTACTCCCACTCTCCTTGCACGATCATAAGCAATACCATGCTGCTGAGTTTCTGACGTAGTATGAGATATAGGTGCCAACCTTTCTGCTGATGTAGATTCTGGAGACTCTACTTCTGCAGGAGGTTCAGTTTCACAGGATAGCTGTTGATAATCACTAAATTGCTGCTGTGATTCAAAACCATTTTGAATGATTTTTAGCTCCACCTGTTTATCAACACCTGCACTTTCTTCAACAACAGCCTTCACAGGGGGGTTAAGTATAGAGTTTTCATCAAAAATTACACTTCTACTAAGTATAACTTTCCTTTCTGAGGGTGACCAGATTCTATACCCTTTAACCCCATCTCCATATCCCAGAAACACTCCCTTTTTAGCCCTTGGTTCTAGTTTACCCTCACTGACATGATAATACGCAGTACAACCAAAAGCCTTCAAATTTGAGTAAGTAGGGGACATACCAGACCACACTTCATAAGGTATCTTGCAGTCTATACCTGTATGAGGTGCACGATTGATCAAGAAGCAGGCCGTGCTCACTGCTTCCGCCCAGAACCTCCTTGGCAAACCAGCATTGAAGAGCATACACCGTGCTCTCTCTAGAAGTGTCTGATTCATGCGTTCTGCTACACCATTTTGTTGTGGTGTGTGTCGAACTGTGTGATGCCGGGCAATTCCTTCATCTTTGCAGAACTCATCGAACTCCTTTGAACAGAATTCCAGACCATTATCAGTTCTCAGCCTTTTGATCTTCTTTCCAGTTTGATTCTCCACTAAGGCCTTCCACTGCTTGAAATTCTTGAAAGCTTCACCTTTTTCCTTCATAACGATTACCTCAACTCGTGAAGGACCCCAACAGTCAGAATGGATGTAATCCAGTGTGCCTTTTGTCCTGTGAATTGCCTTCCCAAACTTTCTGCGATGTAATTTACCGAAAGTACAATGTTCACAGAATCCAAGATCAGTGACCTTGTGGCCTTCTAGAAGATCACGTTTAGACAGAATCTGCATCCCTCTTTCGCTCATATGACCAAGCCTAATGTGCCACAGCTTGGTCATATCAGACCTGCGATTTTCAGAAGATGCAACAGCAGCAGCAGCAGAACCTGTTAGCGTAGAACCTTGTAGGATGTACAGGGTGCCATGCTTAACTCCTTTGAGAACCACTAATGAACCTTTACTGATGCACAACTCTCCACTTCCTCCGCTGAACCTGAAACCCTTACTGTCAAGAGTACTAAGTGATATCAGATTCTTCGTCATTTTGGGGACGTGCCTGACTTCGTTCAGTGTGGCAATTTTTCCAGTATGTGTCCTAATCTTAATCGAACCGATTCCAACAGCCTTGCAGACAGCGCTATTAGCCATCACGACATTTCCGCCATCTATCTGCTCATATGTTGTAAACCATTCCCTATTTGGACATATGTGATAGGACGCCCCAGAATCAAGAACCCACACATCAGATTGATGTGTTGGTTCGTTTGCAATTAGGGCCAGGTCTTCTTCTGAATTTTCCGCTTCCTTTTCTGCAGCTGAAGCTGAAGCGTGTTGTTTTTCCTGCTGTTTCTTCTTCTTGGGACAATCAGATTTCCAATGACCTTTTTCCTTGCAATAGTTACAGACATCATCCGGCTTGGGACCTTTAGAGAACTGCTTCTTATTTCCGGACTTCTTTTTTCCCAATTTTCCTTTATCACTACTGACAACTAATCCAGCAGCCTGATTATCTGTAACATTACCAGCCGCCTTATGGCGCAACTCTGTACTGTGCAGTGCTGATCTTACTTCTTCTAAAGTTACTGTATCTTTACCGCCAATAAAAGACTGAACAAAATTCTCATACGATAACGGTAGAGACACTAACAGAATCAACGTGGCATCCTCATCCTCAATTTTAACATCAATATTACGCAATTCAAGAAGAATTGTATTTAATTGATCTAAATGTTCTCGAAGAGGAGTACCTTCCTGCATACGCAGACCGAACAGACGTTGCTTTAGGAGCAACTTGTTGGTTAAAGATTTCGTCATATAGAGACTTTCAAGTTTAACCCACAAACCCGCAGCAGTTTCTTCACCGGCGACCTCAGTGATGACATCATCTGCCAGACACAGCATGATTGTCGAGTGAGCCTTTTCCTCCAGACTCATCGACTCTTCATCAACGGAATCCGATTTCTTCTTCGTCAGCGGACTCCACAGGCCCTGCTGCTTTAACAGAGCCCGCATCTTGATCTGCCATAAACTGAAACTATTTCTCCCGGTGAACTTGTCGATCTTGATGTTCAAAGCAGACATGTTGTTGCGTGATCCGAGCCCTAGGACAAACCTAGAGCTCTGATACCAGTTTGTTATAACAGATGCAGCGGAACAGAAGAACAAACAAGAATAGACAAGAACAACTTGGGGGAAATCAGATTTTATTAGGGTTGTCAACAGAATAGTTTACAGACTAAAATAAGGTGTATATATATACAACCAAACAGACTGGATAATGGCATCTCAACATCACATTTGTCACACATCATCACAATCACTCACTCAATTGTCAAAACTAATGGGATAATGGCAAGTAATGATCAAAGTGGGATGATTTCATTAATAATTATACTGAAGTGGGACAATTTAAAACCTTTAGGGTGAAGTGTCCACAATAAAAATTTAAGAAGTAAACTGAGAGTGCATTTATATTTAATTTACCTATTTGATTATGCTTTCTGGAGTTATTGATTTAATAATTCTCAATGCTAGCACAATATATTGTGTTTAAATTTGTGTAGATCCAGAAAATAAACGATCATTGAACTGGGCAAGACGTTACAATATCATTGGAGGTATAGCAAAAGGACTTCTTTATCTGCATGAGGATTCTCGTCTAAGAATTGTTCATCGCGATCTCAAAGTAAGTAATATATTATTAGATGGAAATATGAGTCCAAAGATAGCAGATTTTGGCATGGCAAAGATTTGTGGAGTTGATCAATATGAAGGAAACACAAATAGAATTGCAGGGACAATGTAAGTTTTGCTCCCATACCATCTTTTCTCACATAATATCACTTTGAATCTTTCATGGAAAATTATGTACACCTCCATTTGATTGCATCATTCGGATTATCTTTGTACTGATTATAACAATCGTTGTGGCTTGTAGTGGTTATATGGCTCCTGAATACACAAGGTGGGGTCAGTTCTCACTAAAGTCAGACGTGTTTAGTTTTGGGGTTGTAATTTTGGAAATTGTCACGGGCAAGAAGAGCAGTGACTTCCATCAATCTAGAGATTCCGAAGACCTTCTAAGCTATGTAAGTACAAATTGCAAAACCTTTGCTATAGTTGTTACTTTTTTCTTGTTTTTTTTTGGCTTTTGCAGAACTGGGGAGGAGGATTTGATATTGGCACTCCTAATTTTCAACCTTTTATCTTTTCTTTTTTTTCATTATTAAATTCACCTAAACTTGCAATACCATTTTTTGTGTGAACCAGACCAAAATGGCACCATAATTTATGAACTACCTGCCCTAAATAAATACGTATTTCTGTTTATGTGCTTCTTATGGAAATTTTTAGATGTCGGATGCAAGACTTGTCATAATTGCTATTCTTTCTCTCGTTTTGTACGTTGTCACACACTCAAAGTAGAGTACTTGTAAATTTCAGTAAAGACCATTGTACTTCTTTCTCAGGTTATACTTAACTACAATGATGGGAAAAAGGGCTGCGATTTGAAATCTTTTATGAATAAATCTCATATATCAGACAGTGCATATACTATTACCATTAAATTCATAATATGTATGCAAAAATTGAATTTAAAATTCAAATTTTACATAATTGTTGTTCATCCAACGCTAATAACAGTGTATACACTGTTAATGTAAGAAAGATTAATGAACATTAATCCCCAGCTGATCGAACAAACAGTATGTATTGAACTTTTACCATTTGTACATAGCCCAGGTTTACAATGTATACGTTTGGTAACAAAACCAACATAAAGGCTGTCTTGGTTCACAATTCTTGGAGTGTGTTATTAGTTAAAGGAGTTTAAATATATCAGATTCATCCTGATTTTGGACTTTTTCAGCATTCAATGATTTATTATCACCTAAGCTTTCTTAAGTATTCTATTATAATAACAATGTACTTGCATTCGTACAATCTTCATATTTGTTATTCCTTCTTTTTTTTTTTTGTGTTTAAAGTATTTTACCCAATTTTGTCATTTAATTTTCCGTATGTCTCGTACTAATAAAAGAGAGAAAGTCCAACTCTGATTCCCATCCAAAACCAAATTCAAGTGGCACCGAAAATTGCACCATGTCAACTACTTCCATGAATGGGGGAATGTCTTTGGAAATGTCTGAACCAAGCTCTACCAGTGAATGAGCTAATATACTGCAGAACCAGAATGGGGGAACCAATTTGCCAAATCTGTGGTGCGGGAGAGGAAACCATAGAACACTTGCTTTTCTTTTGCAGCCCGGCGAAGGAAGTATGGAGGCTCGCACCAGTGCGGTGGGATGGCATTGATAACAGTAGAGGCAATTTCAACAAATGGTGGAGTGGTCTAATGGAAGCAACAAGCAGAAATGAAGGGCACAAGCACCAAGCTCTTACTGTGAATATTCTCTGGCAACTGTGGAAAGCTCGAAATGACAAGGTCTTTAACAACAAGTGCAGGACTCCTTTTGACATTGTACAGAAAGCCCATCTAGAATGGATAGAGTACACTGAAGTGAAAAGTAGGGAGAAGCGGGTGAGCAGCCAGGAAACATCAGCTAGTGATGAAGAGGGACCGGGCGACTTTATACACAGCAATAAGATGACAATTGAAGTGGAGGTGAGCCAGCTGAAGGAAAGCAAAATTGTTGGCATTGGCATAGTGGCAATAAAAGACACCAAGGTGCATGCTGCATGGGCCATGAAAGAGAGAAGTACAGGTGACTTTTTACTGGATTATTCTGCTGCACTCAAGTTATCATTGTGCAAAATTAGACAAAAGCCTTGGCCAGATGTTAATCTACTAGTTTCATCCGCTCACTTGTTACGAATGCTGCGAACTCACAACACACAAGACATCAGACTTTTTGCTCAATTAGAAGATATTCACATGCTCAAAGCTTTGTTTATGAACTGCTCATTCGGCTTGGCTGAAAACCAGGGTAATAGATTAGGGAGAACAATTAGCAAGTATGCTACTACATTAGTACAAGATGAGGAATATCTAAGTCCTCTGTGTCAAGCAACACAATTGTAAAGCTCGTGATGGGCCTTTGCTCAAGTTTGTATAGCTTGTTTTTTTGAAATCAATATATTTCCTACCGTTTCCGTAAAAAAAAAAAAAACTACTTCCATGAATGCCCAATACCAATTTAGTTACCCAATGCTATAACAGAAAGCCCAAGTCAAAACAATTGAAAAACCCACCATCCCACCATTACCTATTGTCTTCTTTTTTAATTATTCTTTTTCCCTTAAAAAGACAACCAAGCAAATTCCATATCCTATCCTGTGTAACTTCTTGATTTTCGTCTTGTAAATTTCTATACAAAATTTTATTTGCAATGTTTCATTAATTCATCTACCCAAGGCTCCAGCATGCATTAATTCAGTTTAGCTATTGGGCAAATCTTTTGTTTTTCTATGTTTCGTTTTGATGGAAGACAAAAATTCACTTTTAGATTTTCTTGGCTACAACTTTTCTTTATATATTCATTCGAAGATGAAACTTTTATTTTGTGCGTTTAATATATATAAATTAAATGAATTTGGATCTTGGTTGTCATTAGATAGCGTTTATAATAATAATAATAATTTTAGAATTATCCTTTCCTCATTAGTCCGATAAATTGTCATTTTAGATTAAATAAAATTGACAATTACTTCTTCTATTTTTCAATTAGACAAACTTCAATGTTTCTGTTTTGTGTTAATGAAATAGTGAATTTAACTAGTTCTACTGCAATGATTAGGAGAACTAAAAGAATGGATTTAGACAAGGTTATAGTTATTGATAATATAAAAAAAAAACTTGTCAATAGAATAAACTTATGAAAATCAAAATAAAACATTTGTGGTTGCTTTAGATGAAAAAGCAAAAGCTTTAGAACTTCTAAAACATAAAGCTTGCACTTAATTATACTAGTGATTTTTCAGGTTGATTAGTAACTTATTGAGATTTGAGTATTTTGTGACTATCGGGAGCAAGAAAATTGAATAAAAGGGCACTTGAAACAAGTGTTGAACCTGGAAACTTTGAAGCTTTTTATTTTTTTTTTTAACTTTTTATGGATTTTTTTAGTGTAAGTTCCGCTATACCACCTAATTCATCCCTTCCCCAGCTTTGATGCTTCTACATCTAAGAATGTCCGCATTTTTATGGCTACTTCAAATAGTCAACATTTTCCAAATATTACGACTCTTCCGAAATTCAACTAAGACAAAATTCCTAGAGCTAAAAATCAATCAAGTATAACCACTAAAATTTACCTCATCGTTTTGAATTTTTTTTTGCTCATTTAATCTTGATTTATTCCTTGTTTGTAATAAAGTTATACTCAACCTTATAAGTTTCCCCCGTCTCCCCCTATAACAAATTCCTAGCACCGCCACTGCTCCATCCCATCATGATTTCAAATGCAATATGCTACTTCATGAGTTTTTTAAAGAATATTTACAATTAGTTAAGAGGGGCCATTGATGTACATACAAAACAAAGTCCACTTAATTTGTCAGGACAAATAGGGCAAAGGGCTTGAAGCCGTTCCTTAATGGTATCTATTGATTGTTTATTGTGACGCATGTCAAGAAAGGAATTTCAAATATTGAGATTAGTGACGGGGGTTGGCGTGGGCCGAAGTGTAATCAAATCGGGCTGAGCCTTATTTTTAACATGCTCCAACTCGGGTTCGAAATCAACATCGAGCTGGATATGAGTTTCAATTTTAAGCCTGATTTTCCACTCGATACAATATTTTGACTTTCGTTATGCTTGAAATTTTAATTGACTTTTTCTTAAAAGTTAGGTCCTTCTATTACGTGCACTTAGTAGATTGGATAAAAGGTACTATCAAATTCTTTAATTATCACTAAACCTCAATTCGAAATTTGAAAGAAATATTACTAATCGGTTTCAAAAGGTCCACTCTTCTTGTGCTGACATATCTACCTACTATATAAGAAAGAAGTGAGATTACTGTAGCAATCTCTATGGCTGCCAAGTGACGCCCATCTACTTTGACACATGGTTCATTAATCTTTTGAGTAAGCTATCTTTATTTTTTTCCCTTTTTTTTTGGCTTTCATTTTCCCCTCATTTCCTCTTTTCTTTTTGGCAAAAGACAATCACAAGAACCCTCATCCTCATTTACATTATCACTTGCATACTCAATTTTCACTCTGTACTCTTTTCATTTTTTTTCTCTTTTTTTCCTTCACCCTAAATTGTTTACTCTGTTTTTTTCCTATTAAATTAGTTGATGCATTTTTTTTCAATTTTTCCATAATTAATTAAATGAATGGTTTTGTTGTTGGAGTGGACGAGGGAAGATAGCAATTTTTATTGAGTGAAGATAACAATTTTTCCTCAACTTATATTCATTCCAATTTTAGTTTTCATTTATTAAAATTGTTATTTGATAATAGGCTAATAGTGCTGGGATGGATGAGGAAGAATTTGACAAGTGAAGATCCAAGGTGAATGATGGCTGCCAAGTGACTCCAATCTACTTTGACATGCGGCTCATTAATCCTTTGAGGAAGCTATTTTTATTTTTTTTCCCCTTTTTCTTTTGACTTTCTTTTTTCCCCTCATTTCCTCTTTCCTTTCTGGCAAAGACAACCACAAAAACCCTCATCCTCATCTACACTATCATTTGCATGCTCAATTTTCACTCTGTACTCTTTTCATTTTTTTCTCTTTTTTTTTCCTTCGCCTTAATCATTTACTCTGTTTTTTTTTATATTGAATTAGTTGATGCATTTTTTTTCAATTTTTCTATAATTAACTAAATGAATGGGTTTTGTTGTTTGAGTGGATGAGGGAAGATAGCAATTTTTGTTGAGGGAAGATAATAATTTTCCTCAACTTATTTTCATTCCAATTTTAGTTTTCATTTATTAAAATGGTTATTTGATAATAGGCTGATAGTGCTGGGATGGAGGAGGAAGAATTTGACAAGTGAAGATCCAAGGTGAATGATGACTGGGAAGGAAATAGAGAGGTCTATTGAATTTAAAATTAATCAAAATCTCTTAATTTAGAGATAGATAATTATATTTCCATATTTTGATTTATTTAAAGTTTCTTAATAGTGAAAAATGGTTATTTATTAGATGAGAAGGATGATATCTAAAGGAATTGTCGGGGCTAGCAATTTAGGATATGAATAAAATATTTCGTATAATCTCTTCATTTTAGGTTACTGACTTGTATCCATGACAAGTGGTTTATTTTCATTGCATGATAGTTTGAGAAGAAAAAAAAGTGTAAAACTAGATTTTAAAATCATTTGCTTAAGTTGGTTCTATGAATTTGTATTTTTATATAAGCTAGATGTGGAACTCGATATATCATGACTATTTGGCTAAAGGAGTTGATAAATTTTTGTAAACTCAAATAGTTGAATTGATTACTATTGTTAAGGAATTGCAATTGGTGGTGGAAGTCAAAATTGTGACTTTTAGCCTAGAGTGTGATTCGACAAAAAAATTGTTAAAAAATTCAATCTTGATTAAGAAGACATTTTTGCGATCAAACAAATGGTTGGTTTCGAATTTGTATATGTACATTTGCAAACATAGCAGTACATATTTTTATCTAATATTGTTATTTGTATCCTCAAGCTTTTTGGCAGATAATGTTATCACCTATTGTAATGCTAATAAAAAGGATTTAAATGGATGGATTAACAACTCGCTTTTTCTCTGAAAAAGTCAAAAAAACCAATGTGTAGGTTTGTATGTTTTGAAAAGGATAGAAAAATGTGCAAGTTTGTATCTTTTATTGATGTTAAAAATCATGACAAATTTTGGTGACTTTCTAAACCTTTTCTAATTATTAAACTGCTAGAAGTATTATGACTACTTTTGGTTTAGTCACAATTAAAATATGCTGCTATTAAATTGATAATGTAGTGTACTTTTTATCTCTCCTTTTTTTGGTATCATGATGCACACATAGTATTGGTTCAAAAATCTTTGTTTTATAAATGAAATTTCTCTTCATAGCAAATTTTAATTGTTTTGATGCTCAAATTTTCTCCTATATTTACCAAAAAGATATATTGCTTTATGTTTAACTAAACTTCTGCCTCTAGTGAAATAAGAAAAGAAAAAAGAGTCACTTTAGTGTAGCTACGTGGATACAAGTAATATTGTACAAGTGGATGCTCCACGAATCGGGGAATTTTTTTTTTTTTTTTTTTTTTTTTTTTTGGCTGGCAGGAGCTTACGATGATGAAGAAGCGGCTGCACGTGCATATGACTAGGCAGTATTGAAGTACTGGGGACAAGACACAATTCTTGATTTTCCTGTAATCTATAATTCATCTTGCAAATCTTTGCATTTTTTTCCCTTTTTTGTTGAAGAATTTTTTTTAAAATTTTGGGCAAATTCCACTTTACCCCTGTGATTTAGCATTTTTTGCATAACCTTCCTATGGTTTCAAAAGCTATACATAATCCCCTTATGGTTTGGATTAAAGTGTCAAAGTGACGGAAATAATCATTCATAACGGCGTCACCTAAAATGTCAAAATTACCCTTATGTAAAGTTGAAATTTATGTATTAATCAAAGGGGGTTATGTGTATATTTTGAAAATTATAATGGGGTTATATGGTAAAATATTAAACGATAAGGGGGTTATATAGTAAAATATAAAAATCATACGGGGTTAATGTGTCATGTATTTATAAGGGTAATTTCGACATTTTTAGAAGTTCTATTACGAGTAACTATTTCCGTTACTTTGAAACTTTAATCCAAACTACGAGGGGGTTATGTATAGCTTTTGAAACCATAGGGGGGTTATGTTAAAAAAAGGGTAAACCACAGGGGGGTAAAATATAATTTACCCTTAAATTTTTTTAGGTTAGATAATCATAGCGGTTTTGCTTAATGTATGTAGCTCTCGACGTATGAAAATGAGGTCAACGAAATGGAGGGTCAGTCTAAAGAAGAGTATATTGGATCATTGAGAAGATATGTGTACAAACGCAATTGGCAATAGGATCACAAATTTCCTTTAAATGTTAGAGCTCTTTTTGATTTTCTTCCTATATTAAAGATTCTAATGCAAAACAATAACAAAGATTTCCTTCTCTTTCTTTTCCACCTCCAATCCTCTCTCTCTCTCATCCACAGCAGGAAAGCATATATTATGGCCTACTACTTAGTAGTGTAGTGGGGATTTTTAGGTTGGTCATCGCTTAAGTTAGAATATGGAGCAAGAGAATATTAGTTCCTTTTCATTCTCGAAAAACCCTGGTTCACAAAAACTGATAACATAAACGAGGATTTACAGGAGTAGCTCTATTGTGACCGGTTTCTTGCAAAAACAAAGATCAGCAACCATCATAATGGTCGCTTCTTACTGATGCTCCAGGCACCCTTGTAAATATGTTTAAAAAGTGGCCCTTAAACTTGATGAATTTTTTAAAACAAAGCAACGCGGAATTGGTCATTAATAAATGGGTAGACGTTGCTTTCCTTGAGGGTTCCTTTGAATTAATCAAAAGAAGATTAAGAAATGTAAATCAGTTTGACAAAATGGTGAACACGTATGTATTGCAAACACAAGTAGTTGGACAGTTTATTGGCATTTTTTACAACAAAAATTATTGGAAAGTTTCAATCCAATTAAAATGCGACAGACTTTACGGGATTTTATGGTAAATTACATGTAATCACCTTGGATTTTTATATTAATATATGATCTCCTTTACATTTCAAAATATCCGCATAAACCCCTATTGTTTCATGTAATATGAAAAATAGACGGAAAACATCAATGGTTACAGTGATTGAACTAGATGTGCTCCAAAAATGCATGTGGTGAATTAGTGATATCCGCTTAATGCTCCTACAATTCATAAATATCCACTTTAACCCTCTATAGATTTTGTATTTATCCACATAATTCTTCTATAACTTTATACAAGGTGGTCTGATTGTTGTTCGATTTAATATTTAAGTAAGGGCAATAATAATAGTTCAACTAATTGTGTAACATAAGATTTTTTTTTGTAAAATTTCTATTTTATATGAAACCATAGAGGTTTTATATGAATATTGAAAATATTAGGGTTGTCATGTGACAATCAATGAATCTATAGGGGATTATGTGTATAATTTATCCTTTTAACTATATATAGAGAACTTTTTCTTAAAAGTATTGAACTAATAGATAGAGATTCAATTTGGGTCCACTTTACTCAATAGAGCATTAGTCAAATTACAATTATCCTCCACGATGACGTTGTTTGATAGTTGTTAGCATCCTGAAATTTGCATTCCCGTCAAAATCCATTATTTTTTTTTTGGTCAAACGGTAAAAATCTATTACTGACGTATTGAATTTTGGTTAGAGACCATTCAGCTGATGGTTCACGTCCAGGCGAGTTGGTTGTCTGCCAAGGTCAAGTTTTCCCAGGCCATAAGTTTTCCTGGCTTATACAACTTTCATGGTCCCTCAAACAATACTTAATTTGGCTCCTAATCTACCAATCTAGTTTGTAGGCTGTTAGCCTTTTACTCTTTTGATGCCTTCCTTTGAAATGATCTCCAGAAATTTGTTGTTCCACTTCAAATATTACATGCTTTGTTTGCTTAGCTTCCATACCAAACTCACTAGCCCCGTTAATTTTCTTGCGCCTTACTGTGAAAATACAACATACAACCCTAACAGTGCGACCGGCAGCATTTACAGAACCAATCTAAATTTCGTGCTTGACACCCTATCTTCAAATGCATCTCGGACAGACACCAATGGCTTCTATAATTTCAGTACTGGCAATGACCCTTCTAACACGGTCTATGGCCTCTTTCTCTGTCGAGGCGATCTCAGCGCTGATGTTTGCAAAGAATGTGTAGCAAATGCCAGCACAAGAGTATTTCAAGAGTGCCCGAATCAGACGGCTGCTATTGTTTGGTATGACGAGTGCTTGTTGCGTTTTTCTGACCAGACAATCTTCTCCAAGGTTGATTCCAGAGTGGTAGTGGCTATGTACAATACACAGAATGTCACTGAATCGAACTGGTACAACTTCGTATTGCTATTGGGAAATTTGTTGTATAACGCTGCGGATCAGGCTGCAAATCAAACATGGGGCAAAAAGTTTGCTGTTCAACAAGCCAACTTTTCCGCTTTTCAGACGTTGTATGCCCTTACACAGTGCACACCAGATATATCTGTTGATGACTGCAAAGGGTGCCTTGAAAGTGCTATCAGAACCAATCTGACCCTTTGTTGTGCTATCAGAGTGGGAGGTAGAGTAATCTTTCCAAGCTGTAATATTAGGTATGAGCTCTACGGCTTCTACAATAGTGCATTCCCTGCACCACCGCCTATGACAAACTTACATTCCTTCACCGGTGCTCCTCCTCCTAGTTCCACTAAAGGTATGTCCTGGAGCGTTGCTCTGACCAGATATTTTTTTCCTAGTGTTAAAAACAGACTTAAATCTTACAATTTTTGTTTTTATTGAATTCTGGATCGAAAATGAAAATGAAAGGGCTATATTCGCATAACTTTATTTTAAATCCACACCTTTAATACATTTATAATTGGTATGAATGATAGTAGAATTTGTACAAGGAGTAAATTTCACCATTGGCATATAGTACAAAATAGATTTCAGCATAAGCACATCATACTGATCATAGCACTCATGATTTGTCATATATGGTAGAATTTTAAGTGGACTTATACTTCAGAAGACAGTGATCATCTACATATTTAGCATTTTTGCAAGCATTAGGATAGTAATTAACTATAGAATATATATTGAAGTAATAGCGTGGTCGCCATCGTAGAATCCCTTGTGTATGATAGCTTGGTTTGCGAAACTGGGTTGGGCTTCTCTCCATTCCGTTTCTTTTTAGTTTTCCATTCATTTATCCAATTGACGAGGTCTTGCCTTGCACCAAATTTAATAATCTAATTATCTCGAATTCTGCTGGTATATAGTTTGTTTAATGAGTATAGGAGGTATTACTATTTTCGATCCCACGAGGGGCAAATTTACAATTACTAAGACTTTTTCACTTGCTCTATTATCTAAATAACCTCAAATATAATATAAAAAATATAAATTGAAGGTAAGCAAAATAAGTAAACTAAGGAAAATCACAAGAATGGAAGAATCAACTAAACACAAGTTATGGGGAATAGAATCCACTATTTGTTCTAAACCACGGTGAAACAGGTAAAATATCACTTTTAACTCGTCTTCTGAGAATGTAATTTTCTAATACACTTAAAACTCGCTCTCGCCAATGAATCTTCATGAAGATCTATGAAAAAAATTAAGAAAATCCTCCTAAATTTTATTGTTGACCCTCCTCCTTGTCTTTCTAAAGGTATGTTCTGGAACCTTTAGTCTTAAGTCTTACAATTTTTTTGTTTGTATTGATTTCTGGATCAAAAATGAAAATGAAAGAGCTGTATTCACATAACTTTATTTTAGATCCACACCTTTAATGCATTTATAATTGAGATTAATGATATTAGAAGTTGTACAAGGTGTAAATTTAGAATAAATTGGTGTAAATTTAGTGCCGAACGAAAATATATACCTAAAGGAGACCATCACGTAACTAATAGTTTAGTTGAATTGAAACGTCGGCATGTAGTGCAAAATAGTAAGATTTCAGCATAAGCACATCATACTGATCATGACACTCATGATTATGTACATATATAGCCTTTTCGCAAGCATTCGGACGTTAATTGACTATAGAGTATATATTGATTTAATAGTATGGTGGCCATCGTAGAATTCTTTAGTTATGATGGCTTGATTGGGCTTCTCTCCATTTCGTTTCTGTTTAGTTATTCATCCATTTATCTAATATACGGTTTTTAAAACTCATATTATGATGTTATTATTTTATTTTTATTGGTTGATCAGCATAAATAAAGATAAAGTCTATTTGACAAAGTTTTTGCATTCAATTTGGAAGAAACAATTAAACCAGTATAAAAGAGTTTAAGATCATGGAAATTTTGTAACGATTAATTGAACATAACAAATTTGTCAATTCAAATTTAACTTTTTGTGTATAACTGAAATAGTTTATGAGGTATATTATGTATGGTGTTGATTTGCAAAATTAACTTCAAAATGAAATTATCATGGCGTAACGCTAAGAAGAACTCACTTTTGTTTCTCCAAATTTAGACAAGGACATTGAAGAAGATCAAGGATTTGTGCTATGCATGTAAAAGATTCTCCATTATAGTGGAATACATTTTTTCCACTAGTTTGAAAATATTAAAATAGGTAAATTAATTTTACTCCTTTGTGGTTTAATGTTTTGCCATGCAACCCCTTATCATTCCGAAATTGCAATTTTACCTTGTGCTTTTGTGAGAGGAGCCATTGAGTTTTTCTTTGTTTTGTGACAAAACTAGTTGTCAAGATACAGAATAATTATTAAGCACTAAAGTAGGATAAATATCACACTTTAGGGAGTAAAGCATTCAAAATTAAAATTTAAGGATTAGAGTTGCAGAGAGTCCATAATTTAAGGCTCCAAATTGAAAATTAGCCAAGAAAAAAAATGTAAAAAATATATATTAGCAATTAATCAACCAAATACCATATTTACCCTCTTTAAATTTGATTTAACAAAAAAAAAAACAGTTATCTACAAGGGCCCGGGTTAAGATGATAATTTCAAAAGCATAAGGAGATTATGAGGTGAAACATTAAATCATTGATGGTAAAAGGTATTATTACAATTCACATTAATCAAACAATTAATTACATTTGTCTCGCAATGGATCTGCTCTCTCCACTCCTTGTGCTACTTCTTGTCCTAACCTTATGTAGTAGGTCATGTATTCTGCATGAACATCCTTTTTTTAACCCCGCTTTTGTCCTTGAGTTGCAACTATGACTAATAGGGTTAAAAAAAGATCAAAATACAACAACTAAAACCAATATATGATAAAGAAATGAAAAATATATATACTAAAAAACTCGTAAAAATTTGATTTTTTAAATCAAAATTTGGCATTTTAGTCTATTTTCATTTTTTTTACATAGTTAGTGGTTCTTGGAATTCTAAAGAAGAAAAAAAAAAGAGTTAAAATAGGTTGTTTATGAAGGATACATGACAATATAATACAAGATGGGACCGAGAGTAAGCTAGGAAGTGATACGTAAAACCTATTGTGTATTCATCTCCCTTGAGATTGGCCAAATTATAAGTTAGACCTATTGTGCATGTATTTCCATGAAATTTGACCAAATTACCAATCAAACTTTAAAGTTTGATCATAGTACTAAGTAATCCTAAGTATTGATAATGGGGTGAGAGACTGGTAGGATTGCAAGTTAATTGTGCTAAGCTTCTCATTGCCAAGATCAGGACAAGTAAACTTGGCCTCATCTGAGCTACAAAACACCCTCTCTGGTGGCACTTGTAACTTATGTTTTGAAACTCGGACTGGCAAGAAACTCGACTGAGTTCAAGGGTCAGGGGCCATTAGATTCGATCAAGTCGGACTAGTATTAAAAGCCGGATGATGTCATTATGATGTCATAAATATTATTCATTTTTTAAAATAAAAAATATGGAAAAAATACTATTAATATATTAATTAGGTTCATTTTTACCTCATAGTCCTTGCATCACATCAAATTCTTAAAACAAATTGAACAAAATGACAAATCAATATCAAATACTTAATACGAATTTTAAATAAAAATTCAACAATCAAATTTTAAATTAATTTGTTAACGTTTATAAAGTTCAAATGCACATGCATGATAAGTCTTAAACAAAATTGAGACTTATTTGCACAAAGTGCAAAAGCTAAAGTTGCACACAATAATTATAAAAGAAAGTTGCAAGCATAATTGTAATTGTTCAAAACATAAAGGGTCGAAACACAAAATTAAAAAAAAAATTAGACTTGGAAGGCAGTTGCCACCTGGCCTTATCTTTGGTCTTCCTACTCTTCACTCGGTCCAAACACCCGTCCCTTATACTTTGACGCCATTAATTCCTCCTCATGCATCAGGCGGAAACATTTCCGCCTCTTTCTTCTCCTTCTTCTCCTCAACCTTCAACCAAATCAAAAAGGAATTCCTTTTTTTTTTTTTTTTTGCTTTTTCCAGTCAACTTCAACCAATGTTATTAGAAAACAGAAATTCACCAAATTAAAAAGGAAAAAGAAAAAACATGACATCATCAAATCACTAGCATGCATCATCACCAAATTAGCAGGGGGTTTCATTCTCTGCATTCTCTTTTTTTTCCTTTCACTTTGTGATTTTCTTTCTTGTTTCTTTTCTTCAAATAGGCAAGATTCCTCTCTCTTCCTTTATTTTCATTCTTTTGTTAATTTCTTTCTTTCTTCTTTTTTGTTTAGATATTGGTCTTTAGAAGTTGATAATGAGGATATATTCATAGATCTATCTTCTCTCTTCCTTTTTGTCATTTTCTCTTATAACTTTTTGCTTTCAATTTCCAATACATATTACCAAATTGTTGGAGGGATCAAATTATGGCTTTAAAGATGATGAAAATTTTGGGAAAAAGAAAAAGAATCAGCAATTGGCAAAAATATAGCCAAAAAAAGTACAAAACCAGGTTTTACTGGTTTTTCGGTCAAACCCAATAAAAACCGGATTTGGTCGAGTTTTTGACATGCTGTTTTTAAAGATGATTCAGACCGAATAATTGGTCGGTTCTCGGTTTGACCAGTTGGATCGACTAGTCTGGTTCGAGTTTAAAAACAGTGCTTGTAACCATAGAGGTCCTGGGTCCCTAATAATGCCATGACCAAAAGGCAATGTTTTAAAACTCGGACCGTTAATTGAACCGGCGAGGTATTCAAATCGAGGTTCAATCGATCAAACCGGTTCAATTCTGGTCAATGAATTTTTAAAAAAATAATTTATATAAATATATATGTACAAAATAAGACATGCAATGGACTAATTTAAGACTTTATATGATGAAAAGTTTAATATTTTCAAAGAATTTGGATTTTCACAAATAAAATTTTAAATTATAAGTTGTAACAAATAAATTTCATCTTAATCTCAATTGTATCTACCAAAAAATAATCTTAAATCCAACCCAAAATACCACAATATTCTAAAATTATACAAAATTCACGTCTATGGGAATTAGACATTATGAGTTTAAATTTTTAATTTACGTTTTTGGGATTTAGAGATTATAACTTGAAAAAAAAAAGAAGTTTGGAATTTGAAGGAAGTCAGTAGAAAACAGAGATACAAACTTGATAAAAGGCAAAAAATGAGAAGACAGTGAGTGGATGTGCCATTTAATAATTAGTCTTTAGGGTTAAGGAAAATCTATTCTTTTTTTATATATTTTTTTCAATTTAATAAACGAAAACAAAAAACCGGCGGTCAACAATTCAATCCGGTTCGCAAGGTTTAAACAGTTCTTATAGATTTTTAACTCCAATCAACCCAAAATATGAATCGGACCGGAGTTATGACTGATTTACGATCCGATCGGTTGAACCGGCCAACCAATTTGATTTTCAAAACAATGCCAGAAGGGATATGAGCTCCTTTGCATTAGTGAACATCGAGTCTCGACCGACACCTTATACTTTGACTGGGTCAACAAAAAAAGACGGTAAATGTTCCAAAATCCCCACTAACGTACATTTTTTAGAACAAAAATGAATATAAATTGAATCGATTATTTAATTACAGATGGGTCTCACTTTTTTGCCCAAAAAAATGGCTATGTGTGGATCATATAATGGATTCAGGATAAGAAATTATCAAAAATTTAAGTTGGGACCAAATTTTTACTAATTTGATTTTGTAAGAGATGTAAAATTATAATTTTAAAAGTGAATAACAAAAAAATTCATGAAACAAAATGTGAAATATGTTTTGAACAATTTTCCCTTTCAAAAGCTGCATTACCTTTCCTTCTCAGGAAACAAAAAAGGCCAAATCTCCTCTACCAACATTACCATTACATACGTTCAAATTCCACAACTGTAACACCATATATGTATGTGTGTACGCGTGATGCGTGTACGTATGTATGTCTGCGTGCTTATGAAGCGAAGGAAAAAGTAGAAAGGAGAAAATGACTTGGTGATACCAGTCTCGAGGGAATTGAATGGGAGTAAGTACGTTAAAATGAGGAGGTGGTTATGGTGATTGCGGTGGCAGTTGTAATAGATCTGAAATGGAGTAAATAAGGTTTGAGACGAAGAGGGTGCTTTCTTCTTTCATTTTATTTTACCTTTCCACACCGTCGGTTTGGCTATCTTGTATTCTTTCTTCTTAGTATTGGTGCATCTTCCTTTACTTTATATTTAATGTTTCTTCTCCACTTCTTTGTCTTTTATCTCGTTCTATTCTGACACGTACTTTCTTGTTCTTCTGGGGGAAACACCTATTTGCTAATTTGCCACCCAGCTTTTCTAAATTTAGTAATTAATTATCTTCGGCTTTTTTTGCTAGCAATTGTTGTGCCTAAAAATGCTATCCCATTTGTTTTAATTTTTATTTTCCAAGTCTTTTTAAAGTAAGGCATTGTTGTCATTTGATTATATCCAACGGTTGGGTCTGGACAGCCTCATTTACAAGCGTAGTTGTACTTTGGATCAAGCACAGAGCTAAGTTTGTAAATTACTGAAGCCACAGGGGAGTTTAATTCTATTAATCCATAACTAGAACAATTAGTATGCTAGGATTGAAAATTGATTGTCAAAATTTTTTTATTTACCGTCAACATGGAGTATGTGAGACGAAAAGGCAGCGAAAAACTTTTAAAGATACTGAAAGAATATTTTTTCAAATAATGTGTTCTTGCATAGCTATCCGTCTGTGTAATGGGCCGTCTCGGAGTTACACTAACCCAAAGTTCAGCAAACTTGATCTCCTATGAGCTGACTTTTGAAGTAAATTAAACTTCCTTTAATCCAGGCAAAGGACGAAGACCCCCACGAGCAGTTTTTCCAATTGCTGTCCCATTAATTGGGGTTGCTGTTGTGCTATTTATCATGGCTTTAGTTTTCCTGAAAAGAAGATTGCGGAAGAGTCGTGTTGCAATGGCACCGGAAACAAGTGGTAAAGTTTATTGATTGCAATTACAGGAAACCTCAGAGGTTTTTGAACTAATAAATTGAGTGAAGTCGCTTATCCCTGGTGTAGATGGAGTTGCTGAAATCTTAACAGCCGAATCCTTACAGTATAGCTTAACTGAAATTCAAATTGCCACAAATAACTTCTCTGTGGATAACAAAATTGGCGAAGGTGGATTTGGTCGTGTATACAAGGTCTTTGCATGAAATATTTTGCTTTTGTGAATTTGAATATCTACACATTTAATATTTCAATTAAATTCTAGTATGCATGTTTACTCAGGGTGTACTTGGTAATGGACAAGAAGTAGCTGTCAAAAGGCTGTCAAGGAGCTCAGTGCAAGGTGCAGAAGAATTTAAAAATGAAATTGTAGTAGTTGCAAAGCTTCAACACAGAAATCTAGTTCGGCTATTGGGATTTTGCCTGGAAGGAGAAGAAAAGATACTCATCTATGAATTTGTTGCCAACAAAAGCCTTGACTACTTTCTCTTTGGTGGGTTCAATCTAGACATACTTATAGTAATTTTTTGTTGTTCCATGTGATCTTGTTCTATTTTACCTATTTGATTATGCTTTATGGAGTTATTGATTTAATAATTCTCAATGCTAGCACAATATATTGTGTTTAAATTTGTGTAGATCCAGAAAATAAACGATCATTGAACTGGTCAAGACGTTACAATATCATTGGAGGTATAGCAAAAGGACTTCTTTATCTGCATGAGGATTCTCGTCTAAGAATTGTTCATCGCGATCTCAAAGTAAGTAATATATTATTGCATGGAAATATGAGTCCAAAGATAGCAGATTTTGGCATGGCAAAGATTTGTGGAGTTGATCAATATGAAGGAAACACAAATAGAATTGCAGGGACAGTGTAAGTTTTGCTCCCATACTATCTTTTCTCACATAATATCACTTTGAATCTTTCATGGAAAATTATGTACACCTCCATTTGATTGCATCATTCGGATTATCTTTGTACTGATTATAACAATCGTTGTGGCTTGTAGTGGTGGCTTGTAGTGGTTATATGGCTCCTGAATACACAAGGTGGGGTCAGTTCTCACTAAAGTCAGACGTGTTTAGTTTTGGGGTTGTAATTTTGGAAATTGTCACGGGCAAGAAGAGCAGTGACTTCCATCAATCTAGAGATTCCGAAGACCTTCTAAGCTATGTAAGTACAAATTGCAAAACCTTTGCTATAGTTGTTACCTTTTTTTTTTTTGGCTTTTGCAGAACTGGGGAGGAGGATTTGATATTGGCACTCCTAATTTTCAACCTTTTATCTTTTCTTTTTTTTTTCATTATTAAATTCACCTAAACTTGCAATACCATTTTTTGTGTGAACCAGACCAAACTGGCACGATAATTTATGAACTACCTGCCCTAAATAACTACGTATTTCTGTTTATGTGATTCTTATGGAAATTTTTAGATGTCGGATGCAAGACTTGTCATAATTGCTATTCTTTCTCTCGTTTTGTACGTTGTCACACACTCAGAATAGAGTACTTGTGAATTTCAGTAAAGACCATTGTACTTCTTTCTCAGGTTATACTTAACTACAATGATGGGAAAAAAGGTTGCGATTCAAAATCTTTTATGAATAAATCTCATATACACTGACAGTGTATACATTATCACCTTTAGATTCATGATATATGTGTAAATGTTAAAATTTGAAATTCAAATTTTGCATAGTTGTTGTTCATCCAACGCTGACAACAGTGTGTACACTGTCAGTGTAGGAAAGATCAATCCATCTTTTTATATGATTAAGCTTGAAATAGAGAGTATTGACAATTGCCTATTGTGAATATTGACATTTACCTGTATATCTATTTAAGCTGATTGAAGTTTTTAAGAATGTACACCTTATGAGTGGGATTATTTCGAAAAGGCTTGGAACCATTGGAGACGCGGCCAAACTTTAGCTCTTTTGGATTCAAGCATTGGAGATTCTTATGCCAGAAATGAAGTCATTCAATGCATCCAAGTTGGCTTACTATGTGTTGAAGAAGATGCCAGTAAAAGACCCACAATGGCTTCCGTGGTCTGCATGCTCAATCCTGGTTCTGTTTCCCTACCAACTCCACATCGTCCGGCAGTTTTCCGGAGCAATGGATCGGAGAGCAGGGTAGACGAGCTGAAAGTTGATCAATCCAACTCTCAAATAATTTCAGCTCCAAGCTCTGTCAATGATGCATCAATTACTGAACTGATAGAGCCGTTATTTGGCACGTTTTGCATTGTCATCTTGTTCTAATTTTGGCTATTCATGGTGCTAAGAAAGGGAATTTCACTCATATTTGATATTTGTGTGAATTGTAGGTGGTTAGCATTAAAATGATATCGCGGGGTAAATTTCCAGAAGACTTTTCATTTCAGAGCGTTGCCACACCTTAGAAGGAGGACGAAACCGAAAGCCGGACTGCGGTCCACGTGAACCCGAAGCGTGGGATCAGAACTCTGGAGACAAAGCTTTGCTCCAGGCCTTTGTTCCAGACGTCTTTTTCTTTTCTACGTCTCTTGTGCGGCGGATATAAAAAGAGAAACAAGGAAGATTCAAGGGGGCATCTACTTTTTAGGCTTAGTTTTCTTTTCCTAGGTTTGTCAGCAGTCAGACGCTTTTGACTGGGGCTTTTGGCTTTCTTCAGCCGCAACTTAGACTAGCTTAGGAGTTCACCCTTTTCAATCTTTTGCTGTAGACGCCTTTGACGTTCACTTTTGATTTGCTACAATTTTCCATCGCTTTTATTCCTTTTCTTGACTCTGCTCCAGGAGCGACCGAATATAAGAAAATGAACCAAGGGAATTTCCCATTTGTTCCTTAGTTAATTCGCATCGCTCCGCTCCTTGGAATTAATTGTTTGGATATTCGCGTGGATGAAATCAATTAAATCGCGTGAGCTTGACATGATGAGGAGCGGCTAATTTTCTCCTCTACCCAAAGGGTGACGCGAGGGCGCGGTCCACCACACCTGTGAGATCTAATCAAGCTTTCATTATTTCTTCCAATTCGTTATTATTCGTGCGTTTTCTGAATTAATTGTTCATGGGTATTTGATTAATTGAATATCAACGGCCGGGTATTTGATTTAATTTAATAGCCTACTGCCACGTTAATTAAATAGAATCCGTAATTGTTCATTTAATTGACACCCCGTGGCAACCACCATAATTGGTTTTATGATGGGGAAACGCAGGATCTAGCTTAAATAAACCCTCTTAGCGTGTTTATTGGTTAGGGTTGGGTTCTTCTAGCTTTAATGCAATTGGGTAATTAAATTCCTACGGTCGTACTTAGGGTTGTTATCTGATTAGGGAAGCAGTCAATGGTCGTACCTTGACTGTCGAAAAGGTAAAGAAGAACTGGTTGTCAGATCTTATTGATAACTATAACCAATCTAATGATGAATGGGTGAAATATCTTTGCATCGATGATCATTTAATTGGACCGTGCCTGAGCAGTTGATCCTTTGGGTGGAATCTTATTAATTGCTATTTTTAGTGAATTGTGCTTTGTGAGTTGGTTTTGAATTTAGTTCGCTTTATTTTTATTCTTATTTTTATTTTATTTGTTTGCCTCCTATTGAAAATCCCCCAATTCCATTCTACTAATTTGGAAAGAAATAATTTCCTACCCGCTCCCTGTGGAATCGACCCTACTTGCTATTGTACACAAAAGTAATATTCTTATAGACTAATCTGGTATATCGGATCAAGCAAACTCTTCGGGAACAGGGTGAATCAAGTAACCCATTGCACACCTAGGGTCCCTGCTCCAGTATTTGGATTTGTTCTATAATTATTTGTGGTGGTAATTAGGACTTTTTAGTAATTATTATTGCACAGGTTCGGCACCTGTCAATTTTTGGCGCCGTTGCCGGGGAGCTGGCGTTTGGATTATTTGTTTCTTTTCAAATTCAGTTTTTATTTTATTTTTATTTTATTCTATTCTTCTTGATATTTTTGCTAGTTTATGCCCCATTTTTCTCGCACAGGTGAATTAGTATACGATCTTGAAGTTGAGAAGGCAGTGCGTAGGCGGAGGCAAGAGACCAAGAGGCGAAAAGAAGGGCCCTTATTTATTGCAAACGAGTCAGTAGAAGACGAAGTAAGCATGGCCAACACCCAAACACTAAGGGAGCTGGCTGCCCCGGAGCTGACTCACCAGCCCTTATGCATCACATTCCCCACTTTGGCTGAGAATACTGCTTTCGAACTGAAGTCGGGGTTGATTCACCTCTTACCTTCTTTCCATGGTCTCTCGGGTGAAAAACCCCACAAGCACGTTAAGGAGTTCGAGGTGGTCTGCTCTAGTATGAAACCTCCTGGGGTCACTGAAGAGCAAATTAGACTGAGAGCCTTTCCATTCTCTCTCAAGGATGCAGCTAAAGATTGGTTGTACTACCTACCAGCAGGTAGTATCACCACATGGGCACAGTTGAAAAAGAAGTTTTTGGAAAAATTCTTCCCTGCATCCCGGGCTGCGAGTTTGAGGAAGGAGATCTGCAGTATTAAACAATATCCCGGGGAGTCCTTGTATGAATATTGGGAAAGGTTTAACAAGTTGTGCACTAGATGCCCGCAGCATCAAATTAGTGAGCAGCTGTTAATCCAATATTTCTATGAAGGACTCCAACCAACTGATAGGAGTATCATTGACGCTGCGAGTGGGGGAGCGCTGGCAAACAAGACTCCGCAGGAAGCGTGGGAGCTTATTGAAGCTATGGCAGAGAATTCTCAACAGTTTGACTTTCGTGAGAGTAACCCTACCCGTAGGGTCAACGAGGTGGAGACGTCGTCCATTCAACAACAGTTGTCAGAGCTCACATCAGTTGTTCGACAGTTAGCAGTGGGAAATGTGGCCCAAGTAAAGGTATGTGGAATCTGCACAAATATGGGCCACCCCACTGACTCATGCCCCATGTTACAAGAGTATGGAGTTGAACAAGTGAACATGGCTGGAGGCGTGCCCGCGCCTCGTAGACTGTACGTCCCATACTCCAACACGTACAATCCGGGTTGGAGAGATCACCCAAATTTCAGCTATGGTGATAGGCCGCAAAATACATTCTCCAATCGTCCACCAGGATTTCAGCAACCTTGGCAACACAAGTCTCAACCCTCGTCCTCAAGCTCAGGGAGTTCTTTGGAGGAAATTGTCAAGAGTTTGGCCACGACTACCACTCAGCTCGTCACGACCATCACTCAGCTCCAGCAGGAGACTAGAACCTTGGTCGCGAGCACTACTCAGTTCCAACATGATACCAAGGCGGGCATGAAGGACATGGAAACTCGCATGAGTCAAATGGCAACTGCCATTAATCGCCTGGAGTCCCACGTCTATGAGAAATTGCCATCGCAACCTGAGGCAAACCCCAGAAATGTAAGCGCCATGACATTAAGGAGTGGCAAGGAAGTGGAGGGGTCAAAGGTCACGAACTTGAAGACTACAAGTGAAGACGAGATCGAGAAGGAGATAGAGGAAGAAGGACACATTCGCGAAGAGCCTAAGGTAACATCTATTCCTTCGATCCCTATTAAATCTAATATAGCTCCTTTTCCTTGCAGGTTGGAAAAGACAAAGAGGGCAGAAAAGGAAAAAGAAATCCTGGATGTCTTCTGCAAAATTCAAGTAAACATCCCCCTATTGGACGCGATCAAACAGGTACCCAAGTACGCAAAGTTCTTGAAAGACTTGTGCGTTAACAAAAGAAAGTTAAGGGGTGATGAAAGAGTGATGGTAGGAGAGAATGTATCAGCTGTACTTCAAAGGAAACTCCCACCCAAATGCGGAGATCCAGGTATGTTTGCTATCCCCTGTAAGATTGGTCATTTTAGTATCAAAAATGCCATGATAGATTTAGGGGCTTCTATTAATGTGATGCCTAAGTCAATCTATGATTCCCTAAATTTAGGACCTTTAAAAGAAACGGGGATAATAATTCAATTGGCTGATCGTACATGTGCTTATCCGGATGGGATACTTGAGGATGTTTTAGTGCAAGTAGATGGATTAATTTTTCCTACTGATTTTTATGTGCTTTACATGGATGATAGAAGTGCCCTAAATCCATCACCCATTATATTAGGAAGACCATTTTTGAGTACCGCCCAAACTAAAATTGATGTTAGTAAGGGTACTCTCACGATGGAATTTGATGGAGA